ACTGGGCATACATTTCTCTTGACAGCTTCAATGACAGGCTCATGTTCAGAATAGAAAGGACAGATCTACGCTAGGAAAGGAAGGCAATGCCACAGAGCCTGCAGTAACAAATATGAGCAGAACTGATGGCAGACTGCTTGCTGCTATCTGCAACGTGATCAGAAAGGGAAAAACCTCAAAAAGGCAGCTGCTTCATTTTTACCAAAACCCTACTCTCAGATCCTCAGCCCACCTCAACAAGTACAGATTCACTGCCTGAGATTCTCCTCTTGAACAGCTAATCAGGGCTGCCTGGTGCAGGAGGAATACACTTGAGTGTATTTTCCCTGGTTTTAGCATTCTCACTTCTTATGTATAACTGTGTTCTGAAGTCCCTTTTTTTCATGTACTGTGGGTCTTTTCTTAAGAGGCCTTTCCAACTTCTGTCCTTTCCAAATTGATCTCCTGGTACTAGAGAAGGAAAAAGTATAGACTGTGGTCAGAATACACAAAGCATGGGGAAACAGCTGTTAAGGTAATTAAAACTGTTTCAGATTTTTTTTTTTGGCTGTTTTTTTTTTATTTACCGATCTGGTTCCTATTGGAACTTCAGTTAAATGGAAAGACATTCACAGATGGCATTAAATGTATATAACACACTATCTTTCATTCTAGTTCACATGCTATTGCTTTTAGAAGGCAAGGTTTCTGGTTTGTTTTTCTAGGCTGAATAATGAAATCTGATTAACAGAATTTAGGTTCCTCTTCAAAAATGACACCTTTTTGGGATCACCATGCTTCCTGGAATGTAAAATTGTTCAAGGAAGAAACCATATTAAAAGCTACTGCTTGTCAAATTGAGATAGCTTTACATTTCAATCGATACCCTGGAAAAAGATGCATCTGCCATTAAAGGACACTGCTTTAATTAAAGTCTAATTATTTACTGGACGCTTAAACTGAACTCTCATCGCCACAATAAACATGTATACCACTGCTTTGGCAGTCTTACTAAAATACTTATGATGACTATCCTTTCATATACATCATGCTACTTAGAGCACGATAATAAAAAGCTGCCATGCCTTTGAAGCCGTAACTGCTAGAAGAGATACAAACGGTATCATTAACACTTAAGACAAGAAAAATACAAAGCAGAAATGCTCCAGTACCAATTAAAGATAAATATTCCTATCTAATACATCTGAATTTTCTATCAGTAAATATGGAACAAGCAGTCTGTGAAAGATTTGATTCAAAACCACCAGACCGGACTGAGGATTTATTTCCCCTTGAGGCTGGGCTAACATCAAAACCAGTTTTCTGATGCCTTGGCTCTTTGGAGCTCCATGACTCATGAGCTGGTGGTTTGTGCGTGCTGTGAGTGGATCCGAAATATCGCTTACATTATTCCACTAATGACGAAAGCCCTAGTCTCCAGATCAGCCTTGCTCTCCCCACCGCTGGTGGTGGTTTTGCCATTGATGCTGGGGAACCAGGAACAAGCCTTTTAGAAACACAACTGGGAGACTCTGGTTCCCCAACCAGTTCAAGAAGCGACATTTTCCTGACACAGTTCAAATAGGTGAAGCAGCTAATAAGAGATGACAAAAGACTCATTATTTTAATATTCTTTGGGGAAAGTACAAGAGTTTTATAAAAGCAGGATCCACTCTCCCCTCCAATAGATATTCCCACTACAGGCATAGGGATAGTACCTGTTAAACAACATGGATTTCTGGCACAAGTAAGAGCGGGTAAAATAAAATATGGATGTCATTTCAATCTTCAATAATAGGTTTGCAGAGGAAGAAATCCTCAGAACAGATACAGTGCTAGCAAAATACATAAACTACTTCTCAGAGCCTGCTCCTGCTTCACCACTGGGCTGCTGGATGACCACTCCCTATAAAACATACACCATTCTCAAAACCAAAATACAAAGCAGACAGGCCATCTACAGTCACCAAATTCCTGTCCAGAGACCAGCTGGTAGTCTACAGTATCATGTCTAAGGTCCAGTTTAAGAAGAAACAAGAGTTTCTAGAATTATGAAAGTGACTGTATCACAAAAATGACAAGATTGAAGATCATCAACATTTTAACACGGCACCAATGAGCTTCACATGAAGAGGTCCATGGAGTCAATCGAGAGATGTGGATGCTTGCAACTAGATTTCAGAAATTTAAAAACTGCTTTTCAAATATAGGACACTAAATTATAACTATTGCTTGTGCACGGTCCAAGGTTATTTTCCAGAAATTCTTGCTTATAGGGTTACGGAAGATTAGCTGGTAAATCTTTTGAAAATCAATGAATAGATGTCACAGGTCTCACTACCATACCCTCGACAACTGACCCTAGCTTTGGTTAGGCACAGAGAAAGAGCCATGTTTCCTTTCTTGTGCCATGCCAGGGCATTCGGCAAATTTGCACAGTAGCTGCCACGTCTGTCTCTCCCACATGAAACAGCAGAGGACGCTTAGTCTCTGAGGATATCTAAGTCTGATCCCCCTCCCAGACGTTAAGTTTAGGTTAGTAAATAACTTTTTGTGGCTAACCAAATCCCAATCTATACAAATGATGCTATATTCACTTCTCTTGGTAACTTGAAGTTGCAGGCAAAGATGTTTTTCAGAGTTACTTTTCCAGAGTGGACTACAAGACCATTAAAATAAAATTAAACCTAGAACTATAGAAAAGAGAACGCGTTTTCAATCCTGCAAAGCCATCTGTGATTGCTATGTATTTTGCAGTGAAGGCTAGATCCATCCCATACTGATACTCTCCAAGAGGTGGAGACTTAACCTTATACCCACAATTAAACAAGAATAAATAGTCGTCTGCTCAATTAAACACAAGAGAGGGAGAGATTAATACTGGAGGCAAGGCAAAAGACTGCAGAACACAAGAGTGACAGTGGTGTTTTATGCTTACCTGAATCCCCCTGCCACATAATGTTACCTGAGAGTCATTTTTTTCAAACTAGCAACATTTTTTTGTATGCTAATTCCAACTCCATAAACAGAAGAAATGAATCGGGCTTGATTTGCTCCAATACCTCTGTTCAGTGAATTCAGAAGAGGACTTTAGGCTACCGTCCTTAAAACCCAGACTATCTGGCCTTGTCTGCCCAACAAATTGTGCTTATAAATTTCTTGTCTGGTAAGACTCCAATATTTTCTTCCATCTCCATTTTAAAGCATTCACTAGAATAATGAAAGATTCAGCCAAAAAGATAAGGAAACTAAAGATGCCAGCACCAGTCAGTATAGTAGAGTGCAGATTTGGGTGATTTCTTGTGCAGGTGGATTTCTTGTACAGAAAAATTGATTAAATCTGTGCATACTAAACCCAGCAATATTAAAAATAAAGCAAATCTGGGGTTGTCATGAACATAACTATTTTAAACGGGAAATTCCAGGTATTATTTCTTTTCATTTAGTACACAGCAAATGCCCTGCAATACATTCATTCATTCAATCTGCTCCACCACAAAAACTGCCCATTAAGGCTTTACATTCCTATCAAATGGAAAAATTTGTATCCATTGGAGAACGACACTCCTCTACAGAAGGCAAGCTAACGCTATGTTATTGCCATCAAAGGAAATTAGGTCTTCAGGCTGCCCCTTTGCCTTTCCTGCAAGCTGCCTGCCTGCTTCTCAGGCAACACCTACAACTGCCCTGGTCTGAGAGGGTATGTGGGGTGCAATGCTGCACTTAGCGTTGGCCTTGCTGTTCTTAAAAATGCCTTACAAAGAGAGCAAAATAGTTTAGATAAACTTCCGTATTGAAAAATGACTCTCCACTGTGTGCTGTGCATGTTTCACGTGCTCTCTGAGCAGTGTCCAAGCCTCCTTCTCCTCACCTCCTGACTGTGCAAACGCTGCCAGCAGAGGCCTTCCTTGCAAAGGGACCAAAATCAAGGATTTAAATAACAAATTGCTATGCTAGACTTGGAAAAGAAGTATTATGTGAAACCCGTGGGTTCAAATGCATTGACTAGAGCTGTTCTAGTATTTCTGCAGCAACCTGCAAAAAAGAAACAGAAGTAAATAAAGTGTGACTCTAATTCCCTACTACAATGTGCATAACTAAGGGCAGTATATGTCAATATGCCACAGACAGAATTCAGTTTAAACTGATACATGCCTCAGGTCACCAGTGCCGTAGCTAAAGACACAGGAACAGACTAGGTCTACAGACTCACACAACATTATTCCCCTTCAGAGACCAACAAAATAATAATTAAAACCACATGAAGCTTCCTGTACTTTATGATCATCCTCTCTGGTAGTAGTAGTAGTTGTAGTAACGGTATTTTTACATTGCTGAAGAGAATTATACGCAATCAACAAAGTGCCTGGGTCAAGAAGACGGATCCTGCCAGGGTTGGCACCAGCTGATGACATGCTGAAAAACTGCTGAGTAAGATTTGCATTAATCCTCACCCCCTTTCCCATCCCCAGCCCTGAACCTCTAGTTCAACACCACCAAAATGAATGGTGATATGGTCAAGGTGCAGGGCTAAAGGAAGCCTGGGGGGAAGTGGCCAGCCATGAAGGAACATAACGCCATGAAGAGAGGTCTGCCACTTGTTCTCAGGACAGAACAGCCCACATTTTAAACAGCTTTTAAAAAATGTAAAAATCCAGCCGCATTTCTTGTTGTGGGTATCCAGAACACCTCTAAACATACACAGAAATACACAGGTATTACTGAAAATTTTAAGCAACGCCGAAGCTGCAAAACTGCTCTTTTTAGTTGTTTGGATACGGAAGGGGCAGTTTGCTGTAAATAAATATTAAAAATTATTTTTTCTTAAATGCGTGAGATTCTTTTTTTTTCCTCCAGTCTCAGTGGTATTTTCCTGTTACTTGCTCCTCCAGTTGTGCTGATCTTTTTACTATGCGTGTGCTCAAGCGTCCGACGCAGAATGTTCTCTCCCCACTGCAAGAGTTATCCCAGCCCCACCCTGGCCCAGCTTGCATCCCACCCCAGGCCCCATCCCCGTGGGCTTAGATAAGCCATTCCTTCTTGCTCTCGTCGATGGTCTCCGTGAAGTTGGGGTCATTGTTCATGATGGCGGCATCGGCGCTCTCAGCTGACTCTGCACCTTTAGCCTCGTTGGTGTGGTATGTTCCCTTGTGGCGAAACATGTAGCGGATCAGGAACACCAAGGTGCAGAGGATAGTGAAGATCACCACTGCGATGACACCTACATAGAGGAAGAAAGAAAAGATGCCTCTAGTAAGGGAAACACCTACAGGTTTTGACACAAAGAAAGGATCTCGCATCTCCTCCGAGCTGAGCCAAAGCTACCTGGGCTGTTAAACATCGCCACAGTTACTTGGTTTCCACTACTGTAACACTTACATACAGATTTTGCCATATACAAAATGTCACTGAGTGGAGGCTGCTCCCTGATCCCCAAAGATGATGGAGAGTGGCCCAGCAATGACTTCTCCAAGCTCCCTGAACACCCGTGGGTGCATCCCATCAGAGCCCATGGATTTATGGATGTTCAGATTGCCTAACTGATCCCTATCCCAGTCCTCATCAACCAAGGCAACTCCTCCTTTATCCCGACTTCCTCTGGGGTCTCAGGGGTCTGGGGCTCCTGAGGACAGTCTCCAGCAATATTCTGTAACTCTGCCTTCTCTGTATCCCCTGTCACCAGGACACCCACCTCACTCAGCAGCGGGCCTACACTGCTTCTAGTTATGGTGCAACACTTTCATACTATGCAACAGGGCAGAGAAAATTGCATGTGGGCATAAAATTAATTAGCATCCATATTTCGGGAGGCAGCTGGCCACAATAACTTCAATGGAATGCTAATTCAAAGTCCCAGTTCTGGTGTAGCGTAACATCACCTATCACTGAATGGGACTCTCCAGCACATAAAATGTAGCAGAACTTGGCCCCTAAAAAGCAAGGCAGGTTCACAAAGGATTTTTGTCAAGGGTGGAGCAAATAGTGTTTGATATAGATTCATGTTGAGTCTACAGTAACTGTGAAAGTGTCTTTGCCATTTCATGTAAATAAATTACTCTGTTAACATAAGTAACTACTGCAAAGTAGCTCCCCACATGCATGCTCAATATGGGGATTATGAATATTAGTATTTTGATTTGGCTAAAACTGACTCTGGAGAGACAAATAAAGTGAGAACAAACCACTTCACTAGGACAATGTTCCTGAATGGGCTTACACAAATTTCTATTTAACTTTTTTCAAGTATAGTTTTCCTATATAGTCAGTTCTTGGGAAATAGCTTGAATATGTTACCAACTGCAACTCAGCCACTACAGTCATACTGCGAAGTAACTTAGAAAAGTAGACAGTTCTCCTACCTCCAATAATGGCAGAGTTTCTGTTAACTCCATCTCCTATAGCTTGACCATTGTATGGGAAATCGGCACTGGCTGTAAATAAAGAATTAAAGATTTGCATTGTAATAGCAGTGAAACTTTAAATAGTAGTTCAGAAATACATCCAACATCCTCAGAATTTAAAGGAAATTGTGATATTTATCTGAAGAAGAAAAGAAAAAATCTTTCACTATTATCTAATCCTTCAGAACTTATTGCTTCATCCTCTCAACAAAAACAAAAATAGAATAAAGAAGATGCTCTCAATTAGCATTGCTGTTAATACAAGAGGTGATTTTGTTGTTCTTCTAACACAAATTCAGTAAGTTTCTTTAACACAAAACCAAACAGAAATCCTTCTTTCAAAAGCCTGTGTTCATGCATAATATTAGAGAGTTTTGCCTTTGTCGCTGTTACCCATAGCTTTTTAAGTTCCCAGGATTTTGTGAGCACCACTGGGTACAGCTGCAGACTCTTTGAAAGAAAACCTGCCACCTGCACAGCCCAATCTGAGCGAGGGGCTGCATTTTCCATAGAGAAGTTACCATAGAGAAGTTAGTCATAGAGAAGTTACCCAGAGGAAAACGTGCCAGCACCTTTGTTACTCTTGGAGAAAGTCCAAGGTGTTAGCCTAGCCACTGCCCGAGGGGCTCTGGAGCCGAGAGGCAAGGCTGTGAGTTGGAGGAGCTGGGGCACAGCAGACAGGAGAGCCCACGGGAGAGAAGAGCCTCCAACAGACAGTGGAGAAGAAGAAACAGAGTCAGACATAACAGCATCCATCTGTATGTGTCCCAAAACGAAGTGACTCCTTGTGGCAGAGCTAGACGAAGGAATCAGTACATGTTTGAAGTACCATTTGGATGGTAGTCTTGGTTTCAACCTCCAGAGAACATCACAGAGCCTCTTCGAATGCAATCTCATCAATTAAACCTATTATCATTTTCCTTAGTGTCAGACAGAGCAACTATAGCACTCAGCCAGGTGAGTGGTTGCCATCATTCCCGTCTTTGCCAGTGGACTATGGCATTGATTTTGAAATAGAGAAAATGTTGTTAAAAGTACTTAACTGGAGACAGTTAAAATAATCAAGGATATGAATTACTTCTTAGGTCAGTATTTAAAAATCAGCTGTATCTTCCTTGCTTGATGGTTTAGGTGATATTGTATTAAAGTAATCAGTTGCCTTTACAGGCCAGTGATTCATTCACTATACCCAAAAATCAGCCAAGGGAATTCAGCTGGCTTAGTGTTAGCATGGAGTAAAATCCGCAACAAAGTTCCTTTTGTATTGTGAAGCAGCTGCACAAAAGAATGAATGGCTTGAGAAGAGCTTTGGGGCTAAAGCAGCCTCCTGTGTGCCTACTCTTGGAGAGAGTCAAACCAGCTGTGTGTTGAGCAGCTAGTTTTTGGCTGGTTGCTTGCGGGACAAACACAAGAGCATTTCTCAGGGCTCAGTGGACAGGGCCTGGCCAGCAGTTTTTGCCAGCAGCACTGGTGCCTTTGACATTTGTTTGTGCTCTGTCTTCTGAAAACAGCACTTCTGCACCTCTCTGAAACAAAGCAATCTTAAAAAATGTAAAAGAGAAATAAATACCTGATTCTGTATCAGTGGATTTTGCTCCAAAGAAGAACCTTATTCTGCAGGGTCATGAATGTTTCCTACAGACCTTTTGGTGCAGGGCCCATAATATTATCCTTACAGTGCAGAAAGGGAAGGGCTGGCAGCAGGAAAATAAACCCTGACTTTCAACCTGCCCTCCCTGCACCTCAAGGAAAATCCCAAAGCCAATAACACTATGTAGAAAAGCATCAATTTGCTAAATTGCAAAGAATTGCTCTCTGCTGTTCTAACCCCAAAGAAGGCCATGCTACAAGGGCTTCCTAGCAGACAGAAGGCTTTATGATCTTCAACAGCCACTGAAGAACACTGCAGGATAACGAAGAACATGAAGCATGATATGAAACTACATCCTTGATCTTGTCTGAGAGCTGCTGCTAGGACTGGAGCTGATGCCTCCGTCCAAAGCTACTTTCCATTGCGTCTGGTTATCACCCACACTCAGGAGGAGATGTCCACTGCATCAACAAGCAGATGTGATTCACTCTGAGACTCTCATCTCTGACAAAGAGGAAACAGGAACAGGTGACTGAGGCAGGTGGCAGCTACTTCAACGAGAGTTCACCATCAGATTGGGTAGGTTGTGCCCTGCTGCAACTGCTGTAGAACCAGGAGTGCTGTAGTGATGAAGGGAGCTTAGATGTTCATGAATCTTTTTGTAAAGCACCTATGGCAGTGTTGGCAGACATTATCACCATAATTCATGAAGTCCTGTTCTGTTACTCTTATGTCAGCAGGAGATCTGCTTTTATATTATGGGTTTTCCTTGACTGAAAGATTTTATCTAAAATCTCAGCCAAATATGAGGTTGTAGAATAGTTTTTGCTGCACAAATGCCTATACCAGCTTTTTACTGAATGCATTCCTACAGATGAGTAGAGGAGGCAGAAAAGTTTTTTTTTTAGGTGGAATTTCCCTTGAGATTCTTCTGGGCAACAGTAGCTTCTCAAATGATCAGAAATAGCTGCAGACCAGAGGTGTGTGAGCTGCAAAAGAGTAACTCGTGCCACAGCAATGAGGCAGAAGAGAACATATGAGGGCACATTCCTTGACGCTCCAAGGTGAGCTTAACAACAGAATACTGTCACTGACAGGCACCTAGTGAAGGTACTTCAGATAGTAGTTCTGTCATTCAAACATGTGGTGATTGGTCTCTGACTTCTGTCACTGCTGAAATTCAGGAACTAAACGAGAGGAAGCTGACAAAGGGGCAACAGTAATACTGATGCTCTAGTAAAAGCGCAGAAGACTACAGTGTCAGTCACAGGTTGTAAAGAGCAGCTCCTAAAATGTTTTTAAATGACTAGTCATACAAAATTAATATTGTTACTTGTGACTGTAATGTTTCACGAGAATCTAAAACACAGTGGTATAATAACTGGCTCACACAGCTATAATATGCAGATGAAGTACAGGGTGAGTTGCTAATGGAGAAGCGTGTGCCTTCATTTCTCTGTCGCAGCCGAGAACACCTCTTTCCTCTTCAGATTCTTCCATTATCACTGAGACATTAATTCCAACTACGTCTCTCAGCAAGCCCTTTTGCACTGCCTGATACTTGCACTTCTCGACAGCAAACAGGTGCCACGAAACTGCAGTTACTCTGCAGTTACCCCACCAAGTCCCTCGAGATAGGAAGCGAGTTGTGCGTGTAATCTAAGGTGGGTGCGGGGAAGATAGTGTGGGAGTTTTTGGTCTATATGCCGTGCTACCAAATTGTTAGCTGAAGCCATGAATAGAGCTGTTCAGTTTTCCTTTTTGACCTGGTCTACAAAGGTTGCTTTTGAACAGCTGATTCCCATCTTGCCTAGGGACTGTACTGCAAAGGTTTTGGTACTTTAGGATCTTTTTCGGAATGTTCCCTAGGTTTCTCGGAGCAGCCAGGGACTCACGTGATTCAAAACATGAACAACAGAGCAAAGAGCTTTTTAATCTATCCTGGAAAACAGTTACACATATTTCATAGAATAATAGAATCATTCAGGTTGGAAAAGACCCTTGAGATCATCAAGTCCAGCCATTAACCCTACTTTCACCCCTAAACCATATCATAGAATCACAGAATCATAGAATGGCCTAGGCTGGAAGGGACCTTAGAGATCATCTAGTCCAACCTCCCTGTCATGGGCAGGGACGCCACCTCTCGACTGGACCTGGAATCACATGGAGACCGAGCAGGAATCGAACCCACGACCTCAGTGTTGGTCATTGTTGTCAGCACCGCGCTCAAACCACTGAGCTAACTGGCCCCACCAACACCACATCTAAATGACCTTTAAACACATCCAAAGATGATGACTCAACCACCTCCCTGGGCAGCCTATTCCAACTGTGAAAATTTTTTTTCTCATGTCCAGTCTAAACCTACCCTGTTGTAGTTTGAAGCCATTCCCTCTTGTTCTATTGCTAATTACCTGTGAGAAGAGACCAGCACCAACCTCTCTACAACGTCCTTTCAGGTAGTTGTAGAGTGATGAGGTCTCCCCTCAGCCTCCTCTTCTTCAAACTAAACAGGCCCAGTGCCTTCAATCACTCTTCATAAGATTTATTCTCCAGGGCCCTTCACCAGCTTTGTTGCCCTCCTCTGCACTCGCTCCAACACCTAGATATCTCTCTTGTACTGAGGTGCCCAAAGCTGGACACAATATTCAGGTGTGGCTTCACCAGTGCTGAGTACAGAGAGACAATCACCTCCCTTCTTCTGCAGGTCACATAATTTCTAATATAGGCCAGGATGCCATTGACCTTCTTGGCCACCTGGGCACACAGCTGGCTCATATTCAGCTTCTTGTTGATTAGAACCCCCAGGTCCCTTTCTGCCAGGCAGCTTTCCTGCCCCACTTCCCCAAGCCTGCAGCGCTGCACGGGGTTGTTGTGGCCCAAGTGCAGGACCTGGCACTTGGCCTTGTTGAAGCTCATACCATTAACATTGGCCCATCAACCCAATCTATCCAAGCCTCTCTGTACGGCCTCTCTACACTCGTGCAGATAAACACTCCCACCTAACTTGGCATCATCTGCGAACTTACTGATGATACTCCCTATGTCCTTATCAAGGTCATCAACAAAGATGTTGAACAGAAATGGTCCCAACACTGAGTCCTGAGCAAGACCACTTGTGACTGGCCCGCCAGCTGACCACCACTCTTCGGGCCTGTCCATCCAGCCAGTGCTTCATCTAGCAGTTCATACACTCATCCATGCCATGAGCAGCCAGTTTCTCCAAGAGAGCTCTGTGGAGAACAGCGTTAAGGGCCCACAACATGTGCTGCCAGTTCCCCAAAATCTTCTGCTCATACAGCTGTAGCACAGAGCCGTTAGTTTGCTGTCTGGACACACCACAGACATTTTCCTAAAACCTTCAGCGAGTGCACGGACGGACTGATCCTTACCAGGAAATGGTAAACTCATCTATGGTTTATGAACATCACTTCAC